CAAATTCAGTAAAACATTTTTTACATTAAACATGAGATTTATTAGCTTTTCCATTCTAAATCATATAGACTGCTTTATTTATTCTTAACGAAAATTAATAAATCTCCTCTCTTTCTTCAGATGTGAAAGTTGTGGACAAACCTGTCTAAACATTGTGAGACTCCTGCAGCACAAGAGGCAATAGCAAAAATAGTAAGTATATCAATTTCAAAAAATTAAGCCGACATAAAGCAAAACTTTCAACTATTCGTCTAACCTCAATTTCCTATTATTTATTCACAGGATAACTGTAGCAGACGGGGAGATATCAGAAGTCTGGCGACATATCAGTGACAGTGTGATTCCAAGAAATATAATTAGAATACTCCATAGATGTTTGCAATAGAAGAACAACCTATGGAGGCATGCAAAGGCATTTGACCCTCCGGTAGAGTTGTGTATGGCCCCTACATCCTGCAAGGCTTGAAGAAAATGACTAAAAATTCCAATGCGTAAGATTGCATAAGCGGTCTTATTTGTGAAAAGGCATTAAACATGCCAGACATACTTGAAACAGCTTTGAAAAATAAAGATTACGGATCACTCACCTGCGTTATATTTGGTTCATCAACTTTTGGTAGTACTATAGAAGAAATTCAGGAAAGGGTATAATCATGATTCATGATAAAATACTGTTATATATTTTGGATAACTTCAATCTAGACCGGGGATGTCAAACTCGCGGCCCCAGAATACTTACAGTGCGGCCCTCGAACGCTTAACAATAATTGTAATAGTATTTTGGAAGTTTTTTTATCTAAATGTAACAGATTTTTTAAACTTTTCAAAGTGGAATTGAATATTCACACAGAAAACAATTTACTGAGAGTAGTTTTGAAAAATTAATTTTTTTTTGTTTACATTTTGACCCATTTAAGAATACACATCAAGCTAGCAAAAGAATACTTGAATAAAACACTTGAGTGACTAAATTAAACGCAAAGTACATGAAGAAGATGGCATTTTCGAAAAAAATGGGAGTTGCAATATTTCTGCATTTCACAAAATTCTCTGAAGCACATTGTTCAATTTGTCATTCATTAAACCAATTCAGCCACTCGTTATAGTCAGTTACACCATTAATAGGAATTATATACAGCAAACAATTAATGAGAATTATATGCGAATCCCTCAGAATAAATTTGTCTTCTAAAATCGGAGGAAGGCAAAACATATAGGTAGTTTCCATTTACACAAGTCTTCCAAGAAGACTTGTTCGAGCCAAACTAAATGAGCATCGTCAGGTGATCGGTAAGGCTTCAAGTTAAATCTGCCCTGCAACCTCCTGCATAGAAGATAATATTAATTAATGGGCTATGAGCTAATTTCCTAAATTTAGACACAAACCTATCTACGAGGCATTATGTACCAGCAATTTTACCTACGATTAACTAAATATGTCTAAAAAAATTCACCTACTAAAGCAAGTTCGATAGGTGCAAACTTTGTGTTATGGAATTGTATCACAGCAGTTTTGCTGTTTTGCATGACACTCTCTTTAAATGAAATTTCAATGTTTAAGCCAAACATTAAAATTACTAACTTTGAACTTTGTCATTATCTGCAAAATGTCCCACATAAATCTTTACGCTATCGCGTATGCAATCTTCTCTGATAAAAAAAACGTCTATGATGTCCAGAATTACTCTTTACAGCTTGTCTGCCATTCCAGCTTTCCAAGTGAGCAAAACTTCTTGGATATAGAGATTATTTTCTTTCGTTACAGTCTCAAAACGGCAGGTACTACACGTAAAGAAGACGCCGAGTAGCAAAAGCGAGTGGAAAACGGTCGCGAAAGACGACGAGAAATATGTGCATTGGAGCGTATCATGAAATACAATCTTTCGTATGTAGTCTTATGGAGTGACGTCAGAGTTGCCTATCATGTTGTTTAATGTCATTGGTTTTGCCTGTAGTCTTATGGAGTGACGTCAGAGTTGCCTATCATGTTGTTTAATGTCATTGCTGTACTTTATCATTGCAAAATTTTCGGGGCTATTTTAGGAGTGCTTTTGCGAGTTGCCGCCTGTAAAATTGGGTATGTGTTTCAAACCATCATTATGTTTCATCGCATACAACAAGCTGTTTTTTTAAAAGTACCGGTAAAGAATTTTAGCCTAGTCTAGCTATTTTTACACTAATTTTTCATTACCGCAATTGAATTAAAACTCCTAGGAAGACAGAGTGATCATTGAATTATTTGATTTATATTTAAGGTTTCGAAACACAACTGAAAACTAACGAATAGAGTTCAAAAACGCGAAAACGAGGTAATGTTTATGACCACGCTTGAAAATCTGTCTGAGTGAGAAAAGTGTCTGAGCGGATGCAAAAAGGGAGCATTGTTACGTCACTTTTTGCATCTTGCTGATTGGCCAATGTCACGAAGTAAACAAGGAAGTCGATGCTCGGGGAAAGGTCCATAGAGATTTTTGTTGAACCGTCTGGATTTCTTCATTGTTATTCAAAAAATCCATACTGTCCCGTATGTATGAAAGTATTAATTTTCTTGCACATGAAGGGAGTCAATTTATGGTCTACAAAAGCCGAAAGTTTCTCTGTGGCGGTGCCATTATTTGATATTATAGGGCGACTGGAATGATTTAGTTTATGTACCTTGGGCTGAAGGCGTAAGCGTTCTGGTTTTGGGTTTTTTGGAGAAATTGCTTTAAATAATTCATTGTCTATCACACCTGCATTGTTCATTCTCGAGCATAGCTTGATAACTTCATTGCCAAGAAGTTATCCTTTGGTAGAGGTCTGTAAATCAACTTTCGTTAATTAACGCATCCCTTCAGCGACATGGTCCGTTCGAGATGGGATGATTCGCTATTTGATTAAGGCAACCCCTCACCGGGTTAGGCCCTCGATAGCGACAAAGAAAGAAGAAAACAAAGAGAATGAACTATGCCGAAGCCGCCTCGAAGACTCCAGAGAAAGAAGAAACTTCCGTCGCAACAACAAGACCGCGTACACTCTTCCTGACGACCACTCAAGATCTGGACTTTCCTCGCCTTCTCGACATCTTGAAGAACGACTCGTCCACCCGAAAGTTTGTCGACAACATAACGGGACTCTTCGAAGGTCGAAAGAGGCAATGGATTTGCACCTTCGCCGCTACGGAAGATCCCAACTCGAGCTGCCGCGGACAATTTTTGGAAGTAACGAACGGCCAAATCCGAACAGCAGAAGGTAACTTCACAGTCGCTCTGCCAACCCAGGCCCCAACTCGAATATCTATTCGGTGGATACCAGGGGAAACATCATACAACGAGGCAGTATCAAAAATTGAAGAACTTGGATGTGGGAGCGTGAGGAATGCATTCAAAAACTGTTATAAAGGTACGTCTATCTATAATGGTCATACTACCTTTTTTATTCAAAATTTTAAAAGGGACCGTTTACCTGATTATGTGGTAATTGGTGGGAACAGGTGTAAAACCTACCTACCCCGAGAGGTATACGTACCAATATGCGGACGATGCCTGCAGGCAGGACACAACTACACCGAGTGTGAGAGTGAAGCCGTTCGCCGTTACTGCAATGTCGTGGGTCATATTCAAAAAGACTGCCCATCAAAAAAGAAAGACTGTCCATATCTTTCTCTACCTACATGGACAATACCACGACGTAGAAGATTGGAGACGGCAAACCCACCTCATTCGGATATACAACGTGTGAACAACCATAGTGTCTTACAACCTGCAATGACATCAACAAAGATTTCGGAATTACACAAACAAAATGATCAAAACGACGTCCAACCTTCATCGACTGCTCAAAACACACCGGATATACCAGCAACGATCGACCAAAATGTCTCACTACCTGCAATTACTATGGGAATACCTCGAACGGCACCACAACTAACAGCATGCTTGACAATAGGATACCGGAAATTGATTTGGTCTCGGATTTACACGAGTTTTCCTCTTCCACCGGTTCTAATGACCTGAAGGAGATTAGTAACTGGTCGGAGTTCGAAGATGCGGGAAACGTCTTGAGCCCTCTGTCGACTCCACCTAATCAACTACAACAAAAACCAACCCGGCAGTCATCGAGGTTGAAGCAGACTTCAACGATAGGCAACACACCTTTCCATCCTACATCAAAAGGAAATGCCTACGTGAAGGTAATGCTACACAACATCGAGCCTTGTGACTTATCAACTACTTCCGTTTTCGACAGCACACCGGACGAAATATCCTCAGCCCCAGCCAACCTTGAATACAATAAATCAAATCCAAAGACTTCGAACTCAACTCGACCAAAATTGGACAATAAAAGATACCGTGACGACACCACATCATCCGATTCCTCTTTCTCAACTTCCTTGGAAGTTAAGTTAGTTGGAAAAAGGAAAAAATAGCAGTGAGTAAAAATTCGGACCCACAAAATCAAATTCATATACTCTGGGACATTTATTTCGGCCTCCAAAAATCACTTGTATTAAAACGCCCAGTTGATGGCATTAAACTCAACAAAATTCGATTATACCATCTCACACATAGCGGGTGTGATGAAAGGAAGTCTACCTCTTTATGTGGTACATAAAATGGTGATCTCTATGGCAGAGAGATTTGATCCATAAAACTTCCGTCGGCATAATCTGGGTATGAAGGCATTCGGGCTGGATTCCAGACTTGTCGTCCTGATCCGTAAAAGAAAAAAGAAAAAAAAGGTAGGATGCAAATCCCCCATCCTTTATAGGCCGGAGCTAAAACTATGTCCCTTGATGCACTTTTTCCAAGTACTTTCAGTGCTATTAGTTCATTCCTATTCAAATTACGATAGGCATAGAAAACGGAAAAGTAGTTGGTATGTATGTATGTATGTATGTTTATTCGTCTCGTAAAAGCAAAAACACAGGAGTTAGTAAATATCAACATTGAAGACGGGATGTATACACAAGACCATACTGGCCTAAAACACATGAACGTGCGGCATACACCCCTTATGATAAGCATAAAATGCAGTAAATCGAATAAGTATAATATGGTCCTTCATACAGACAGTTGTGCGAGGAGGGTGGATTAGGCAACATGGGTAACGGTGGAGTATGCCCAACTGTTTGTACAAAGGAGTTGGTAGGACAAGACAACATCAATAAATAGAGACAATACAACATGAAATATAATACATAATATATATACATAAGAATAAAATTTGGACATATAGCACCCTCGAATAATGATACCACATACTATAAATGGGAGAAATAGTCAACTTTATAGGAGAATGTGCATATATGGTATGTACCACTCAAGGGTGAGTGTCTTAAGTAATAAATGGCTAATCTAGCAAAAATGCGTTCCTTCCAGGCTTGGGGAAATGCAATGTAATAGGTTCTGTCAAGTTATACGCTTTTTTAAGGTACTTTGTATTTTATAGTTCTGAATACCGCTAAAAAAGATTAGGATTCAAAAAAAGGATATTCAGGTTGCATTTCCATAAAACCTATCATGATCGCATTTCAGCCAGACAATTCAAAGGTATAAAAGTATATTGAAATAGAGAACAATAAATTATAAAGAATATCATTTTGCCATGTCATGGAATTTCCAAATTGAATTAAAATAATAATAAAATATAGTATCCTGTGATGAAGAAAGGGTTAGGATTGTTCGTTTTGGTGCTGATAATAAAAAAATAAAAACAATAATATAGTTGAATAATATGATATCCTAGAATAAAGAAAGAAACCCAATCGACAGCACACTGTATGTGTATATTGTATTTTGGGCATGCAAATTAGGTACCGGTACAGTATTCTTCTCCACCTGCAGACCTGACTGCTTGAAGATGAGTTCTGGAGATGTGATGGTATCTTCTGGCGTTGAGAATGGTGAGAAATTCTAACCTAAATAACACTTAGCCTACCTGAAACTTAATAACAGCAGTTACGGTACCGTATGCTACGGTACCAATTGAAACTAGACTGTAAAGTAAAATAAGATTTTCACCATGTCTGCATGTGTTATAGTACAGTAGTAGGATACCATATACAGGTGTATATTGAACATTTCTTATTACAGTATTATAAAATCTGAAAATTGTTGGTTCTTTACATGCTGACATGAGAGCTCATTGAATGGTACTGTGGTACCGGTACCGTATGTGCCATGGAACTTAAAACAGTTGAACTAGATGAAAAAGGGGATTAAAACCCATAGGGCGGTAGGGAGTTGTCAATGGCAAGAATACAGTGTCTGATCTAACTACACAACTAGCCTAGATGGAAATGACCATATGCATAAGAGAAATAGGCAATACTGCAATACCTGCTTGTTCAACTACTGAACTGAACTACCAGATATCTATATGTTAGAGTTAATATACAAATATAATGATTATGCTCTTAAATTTAATTACTACTGTTGACGACTCTAAAATCCCTTCAAGGCGCTGCAGCATCAGGTGGAGATGATAAGAAAGATGTGATATACCCAAAAACATTTTCTGGCATGCCGTTTGGTGAGGTGAATCATTTTGTGAATGCAGATGGTAATTATTTGTTTAGCAGATATTGGAAACCAGAAAAGGAAATCAAGTGAGTAATACAGACTAAAATTAGTTAGTTGTTGCTGCTTGCTTCCATGCTTTATCATAGTACAACATTTCCCAACCGAGGAGAAAAGTTTTATTTAGGAAATTTTACTTTGTATTTGCATGTCGTATCACTAATATTTTTCACTTGTTTAGTATTATTGTAATGCATATATACATTATAAACTGATCAAAATGTACAAAAACCCGAGTGCCAGTTGCACATATTGCACAAAAATGTTCAATGCAACAAATCCAAATAAAATTTTATGCGTAAAGGGGGAGAAATCAGGAGCTTAAAAATAAGCCAAGGGAAGAATGTGCCAAAAAAGGTTGTGAACCATTGTCATAGTGAATCATATGCAAGGATTCTATTGAAGGATTATGAGATCAAATAGCCAACTCACAAGATATTATTTTATGTTCATCCCAATGCAATAATTAAAGATCGACATTGTTGTTGTTAATTTTTTTGTATATTATATTTGTCATTAAGGAGAAATTTCAGGAAATTGAATTGGGATTATATAAGTTATAATGCTACATAGCTCCATTAATCTGTTTGTGAGGCGTCTGCTTTCACAAAGTATCCTATCCACTTCAGACTTCGTTACTGCTACAAGAAACAGATGTATATATATAAGCAACACTCTTAAATATAAATCATATGCTTTTGAATTTATATTGATTCTTGTTACCTTTTTCAGAGCCTTAGTGTTTCATGTTCATGGTTATGCAGAGCATTGTGGTCGATCAAAGGAATTGGCGAAAAAATTGATGGAAATAGGAGTTTTTTCATTTGCACATGATCATTGTATATTCCTTATCGAGTCCTAATAATTTTTAATTTGTGTTTTAGCTACTGATTCGCCACATCATCTTTTTATTTGAATACAGATTAGTTTCATAAAAATATTCAATCAGTAACAAATGTCATCATTAATACTGCAGCGAAGAAAGTATAATACAAAGTTGTTACGATTATAACTCTTAATGTAAAGAATTCTGCGAAAAAGTTTTTTTAATATTCAAACATATGAGATATTTGTTGTTTATAAATATTTTCTAGATAGGCTTTAAATATTGTATCCATCTTCAGTTTGATGTAGTAATCAAAGCTAAATTTAATCAAAATTTATTGCTTCCTTAACCACAGATGCTCATGGAGAAAGTCAAGGTCTACGTTGTCATGTGATGGACTACACAATTCTAATCAGAGATATACGGCAGCACATTGATTTGATTCGACCAGAATACCCTGATCTCCCTATATTTTTATATGGACATTCAATGGTATGTTTTGACTTTCATGTTTGTTATTTTCGATGAACGTATCTGCTTTGATACGCTGTTGTAATAATTCAATAGATAAATAGTGTTATGTGAAAGTAGTTGGAATCACAAAACTCGTAAAATAATTTTGTTGTACATTTTGAAAGCTCATTGGTCAAAATGTGTTCTATAAACTATTCTAATGTAAAATTACTCAGCTTTTTAAGCCTGTTTTGCTTTAGTTTGTAATCTATACCAGGTCGACTTATTTGAGTTGATTATTTATCTCCATCACTAGTTACGAGTTGAAAAGTATAATATTTATAAAAACTTTTGAATTTGTACCTCAGGGAGGTGGATTATCGGTGTTAACAGCTCATGAAAGACCAAACTATTTTCGTGGTATTTTGTTGTCTGCACCCTACATTACACCTAGTCCAGATACGGCCACCCCATTCAAGGTTTGTTGATGAGGATTTCAGTACTATTTTTTTTGCGTCTTCCACTCCAATCAAGGTTATATCCAATTATAATGTTATGCAGTTTATCCACTTCTTTCTAGGTGTTTCTGGCACAAGTTATTGCTAGTGTCGCACCAAAACTGAGAATTGGAAAGCTTAACTCAGAATTTTTATCAAGAGATCAGAAACAAGTACGTATGTACATATTTTTATCATTTACAGAAATTTCATTAAAGGCTCACACTGATATGAGAAATAGTATAAAAACATCATTTTATTAGTATTTCTTTGATTGAACCGAATTGACCGTGCAGATTTATGTTAGATATTATTTTGTGTGTCATATTAAATAATCATACACATTAATATCAGATAATTACTTATCATGCACGGTTTACATTGTTTTTTTTCATCTATTTTAGATAGATGAAGATATGAATGATCCCTTGAATGATCATGATGGATTGAGGGCAGGATTCGCCATGCAATTTCTTGCAATGTCGGATAAACTGAAAAAGATTCTACCCAGTTTAGACATACCTATCTTTGCCGCACATTCAGAAGCTGATGCAATATGTGACATCGGTGGAACAAAACTCTTGATAGAAGTCTGTAACAGCAAAGATAAAACATTCAAGGTAAAATCTGCTCGATGAATATATATTTTCATCAGATTATTGATTCTCTTTGACGTTTACTGTTAATCAACTGAGGCAAAGCTTTGATTTTCCTTACTAAGTCAGATTTTGCAAAGTCTGCAATTGTCTATGGATGATTCAATATGACTTTTCAGCATGATCAGACATAATTGTGTCTTAGTCAACTGCTGTGGAAGGGTCACTGACTCATTGACCAAACTATACCATTGTGTAATTGGTTGAATGTTGATAGCCTTGTTCCAAACTCGCTGGCTTACCTATGTTGGTGTTGTGGGTCAATTATTTCAGATTCGAACTACTGGTGATCATGTCCATCATCCATGATTGGGTGTAGTAAATTGGCTTGGTTATGCCAAACCACATAGATATTGTTCTCTTTAAGAATTATATTCCTCAGAACTTCTGTTGTGTTCTGATCTGACCCAAAGGAATTTGAAAGTGCAACTTCAACTCCAATGAAAACATGACAAAGTTTGCCTTACAGCCATGATATTTATTTTACAAATAAATTGCGGTACAAATTTATTTTATTTTCATCAGATTTACAAGGATTGCATGCATATGTTAGAGCATGAAACTCCAGAGTTTGTTGAGGAATACTTCGCTGAAGTTTTGAAATGGATAAAGGAGAGAATATGAATATAAATCAGTATTTCATAGATATTGCATAAATATTGTTGAACTGAAACTATACACAATTTATTTATTTTATAACAGTGTCTAATTGTATAGAAATTTTCCATCACATTACCATGCATTTTATTACCTTTTACCTGAATATTTGAGATCGGTAGCAATGTCAAGAAATCTGTATTTATTTTATTAGTAAACTGTTTTTAACATGTTTAATGCCACCTAAGTGCCCCAGCATAGCTTGTTAGGTATACTGATTTTAAAAATTTATCACCTATATTTTTTATATTCAAAGTATAATAAATGCACTTAATTTGAAACTTTCACAATCATGACCAAACTGTGTTCTGATATTTGAAATGCACCTATATGTAAATTAATTAAAATACTCTATGTTAGTTTTCACATTTCACCCCGGTTGACAAAAAAGAACATCTTGAGGATTCGTAAAGAGTGTCACGGACATTAAATATGCCCTTTAGCTTAATCCATTAGCTTTTTAGGTTGCATATTATCATGTAGATCAGGAGTCGGCAACCTACGACCCTCGGATCAATATAATCCGACCCGCGACGCTTCACTAAATTATAGTAACAAAACATTCTTTTGACGAATATATTCTTTAGACAAAATTATATTATAACCTAACAATTATATAATTCGCAATTACTCGTTTAACGAGCATATAATTTAATTATAATTAAGCAAATGGCAACAAAACGCAGAAAAGTTGATGCTAAGTGCAAAGGGTTCAATGGCGCTGAAAATATTCAAATAGAATTTTATGAGATGCAATGAGGAAATAAATCTATATTCTATTGGAGAGATGTATCGCTGCTTGATTTTTATTATAAAAATCACCATCCGCTCGGTTTTTTAACTTTCTAAAAACATGTGCGGCCCGTCAATGACTTGCAACCCTAATTTTGGCCCAGGAGCGACAAAAGGTTGCCGACCCCTGATGTAGATGCAAAAATACGCAAAGTATATTTCTTCCCTTAGTTTTGTTTCAGGTAGCCCTTTTGATCACCTTATAAATATGGCACAAATTATTCATCAAAATCAGCTGTCAATAATTTTTATTTTATCACCTGAATAAAACTCATTAGAAGATAAATAGAGATGTCAGGAATATTTCATTTGTTTTTTCATAATTTATGCATTAATTCAGTCTTACTAACATGCAACATATGCCATTTCCATTGGATTTTGATTGATTGAAAATGGGTATATTTGGAAAATTATTCGAGTTTTTATTTTATAAACCAATAATAAGCACAAGCAAACTTCACTTGGAATACTGTGTTTGACTATACTAACGTAGCAAATATTTTTATTCTGAATGCTATTTTATATGGATTGAGTAGAGAGTTTTACTTTTTGCATAAGAGATTGACTTTATTTAAATCACTTGTCACCACATCTACCATTTGGTGACAAAGGTTGATTGTAGCATCAAATACAAGCTGCATGCAAATTAGGATCAAGGTTCTATCTTTTCTAGATTGTATGCGGACCTTGGAGTCATTGAATTTTTCATGCATAATCTTGCCCAACTACTATTCAAGCAATATTATTGCACAATACTGTAAAATGAATTAGCATAAAAGAGCAAATTATTTAGTTGATATGAAATGTATGTTGTGTTGGCTTTATTCTAATTTTGGTCTGTTTTAACATTTAATTTTTCAACTATTATACACATATCGAAATTTTTATTGTGACATTAAGTGCTATTTGTCTAAAGTACTTTGTAAGTAAGTTTTGTGTGAAGTTTTCCCAACTATGATCGTTTTTTTAACTACCCCCTCTTTGTATGCTAAGATTGCCACCTTTTCAGTTACTCCTAAATTAACAAATATACACAAAGCTTCATATAACACAGTGGTTCTTAGCCCTTTTTTCTGTGGCCCATTTTTATTGCGCGAAAACTCTGTGGCCCATTCACTCACAAACTATGTCCGCGAAAATTAACTTTTACTTTAATAATTAGAATGAAAATTTCCCCTCAGTAACAAAAAACAGTAATATCGTTCATTGCCACTACAATCAAAATTCAACTCTGGTGACACAAATGAACTGAATTTTTCACCCCCCAAAGTGTTGCTGTGGCGCAGCAGTGGGCCATGGCCCACTGGTTGAGAACCAGTGTAATAACCGATACACATTCTATGCCCGATATCTCAATATTAAATTTCACCATTGGGAGCGATCGATTATTTATTGCGTAATTTATCCACACCGGGACATTATCCAGGTGCCAGCTGAAAGTAGTCCGTTCACTTTGATATATTCTTACATATAAATACATATTGCTATTTGTTCGTTCTTAATATCCTAAAGTTCCTGGCGTTTTATTTTCGTTTACTTTTCAGATAGAGATTAATTATATCATTAAAATGAAATGTCATAAAACAGCATAAATATATCGTTTTTTTACCACTTGACTGGTTCGGAATTGGCGTACTTGAGGTGCCAGGTTATTTGTGAGAGGAAGTTTCATAGCTCCGCCTGGCGCCTCGTGTTGTGTATTAAAAACGCATCACTGGTTGCCCTTCGTGACTTCGCCGTTTGGAATACCATTGATTATGACTGATATGCGAGATGTGGTTCGCGTAATCGCTAATAGGTTGTGTGACTTTTCGTCATCCAAGTACTAGATTCTAGAACAGACATGGGCAAACTATGGCCCGCGGGCCAAATCCAGCCCCATGGGTTGTTCGATCTGACTCGCCTGATTGTTTTGTTATGGGCATGAGGAAGCGATACGGTCATCGAGGTCAGCCCCCACCATATACGATGGTGATGTGATTAAAATTAACACTGAACGATGACTAGTGACAAAACTTGGGACTATTACAATAATATTTTTACAATAAATTTCTTAACAAAATTGGAGGATTTTTTGGTAAATGCAATGTTGTGCATGTGTGTTTTTAACTCCTTGAAATATAACATCATCTCGTTCCATCCATACTTTAAACCTAACAGTAGACAGAAGCAATATTAAAGAATCCATTTAAGAAGAAGTGGCATTTTGATACTCCTGTCCACCTAGGTCCAACATTAAGCATGTTCGAAACGTTTTTAAAAAATGACAATTAAAAAACTTAATGATAATATTATAAACATAATCCTACATGTCCAGTATAAATACACATTTACAAAACAAATGTTCCTTAAATTGAGGTTCTTTATTCCATAAAACACAAATAGCATTTTCTGCTATAAATTTTATTTTGGTTTTACTTTTTAAAGGTAGAATGTTCCACATTATCCTGAAATTGAACGTTTTTACATAATTTGCTAGAATGATGGCAGCTAAAAAGTCGGTCGCCATGGTCTGGAAATACCACCATGGTTTTGCGGCAGCTTTAGACTTGAACACTATACATACATTGTGCCCAATATTGGCACGGATCTACAGTGTTACTAAAAACTCGAGCAACTCCTAGAAGTGTTCTTCAGCTGCTGCACCATAAAATAGTATGGGCTCTAGCTGTACCATCGCGACAATTTACAACACAACACATTGAAACGTTAATGCATATTGAATTTGCTGGGGTTAACTGATTTTGTTCGCCTACTTTACATCAAGAAGTGTAAAGGCTGGGGGCATATTCGCTTGGAAAAGGAAAATCTAAATAAAATTTGGGCCTAGCCCTAACCTGGTACACATACTGCGGGAGTTTCAATTAATATACCTTTTTCATATTTTTGTTATTTGAATATTGAAATTTCTATTGTTGGTCAATCGAATAGCACGTTTTTTCCCATATCTTTTATATCTAGTTATTGACATGATATTCTTGATCAATTAGATCAGGGGTTCTCAACCTGGGGTTCGCGAACCCCCAGGGGTTCACGAGGAGATTTCCAGGGGTACTTGAATGACAGTTGAATTTTCATGTGTTGCTTTTTTTTAATGTCCTCTACTATCAGAGGAAAATGCGTACCTAGCATGGATTTTTCCCGATCTTGCGTTGTTGTGACTAAACAATGTGAAATCCACAGCTTTGCAGCCAAACTGTGAAATCTCAAAAGACAATGTGCTGTTTGCTCCGCAATGAACAGTGACAGCCTTCACACTAATGTTCTGTATAAATGAAATAAAGACTTTTCCCAACCTTTCTGGCGGACCGGTAAAATAAAATAAAATGTACTCACGGACCGGCAAAAAATGAAATGAGTGGAATAGAAAATAATAACATTATATTTGCGAAATGTAATGCAATGTCTAGCACTTGAAAACATTTCACATGAATAAAAACAAATAATGCGCCGGCCAAAAATTGAAATAAGTAGATCAAACTTTGGTCAGAAGAAGACCTATTCTCCTCGTTCTTGTGAAAAAATATCAAAATGTTTTGTTCTGATCTTATCATAATCCTTCTGCAGTTCAATGCATCAAACAAAATGAATTTACAAAAAATGTCAAAGTCTTCTGTAACTTGGCACCAGGTTCACAATCCTGCTGTGCATCACCTGGGAAAGATTTCTTTTGTTGGCGTCTAGTGGCCACCTGCAGGCCGCAACAAGCTCATTGGGATATTATACTGTCCATGACTGTTTTCTGGTTTGAACAAAGAAATATTCATATAACTTTATAATTGGATGTTCATATTAAAGCAGAATGGCATGTAGAACAGAAAAAATACATGTGCCAATCTTTGGCTTTCCGAATCTTGCGAGATTCGAAGAACACTTCGCGATCGCGAACGGCAATGGCAGGTTTCTAGTGGTTTTTCACTTATTTGCGCGCTTTGGCAAGGTTTCTAGTGCTTTTGACGGGTTTTCACTGTTTTGGAATGGTTTCTAGTGCTTTTTGACGGCTTCGAGATCAGAACCAAAAAGTGTGATTTCTCCGCGCTAAGACGTCGGCGGGCAGTTAATACCGCAAATAGCAATATGTTAGCAAAAGAGAAATTGCGTAATAAACAAACATAACGTCGTTATTTCAGGTTCGGTACAGCGATTGAGACGACTGAAAAACAACTTGCAGACCGACGAAAAAAAACTTCCGATGTCGGTCCGCGGACCAGTGGCTGAGAACCACTGCTTTAAAAAACAGTTTAAAAATTATTAGTTAATATACTACAACTTTGTTTGGTGTCTGATTACTGGGGGTTCGTGTTGATTATTTCATGACTCGGGGGGCACTTAACAGGAAAAATGTTGAGAACCCCTGAATTAGATGGTTCATTTCTTATATCTTAATATTGATTAAGTAATATTGATATTATATTGCAGTTTTTAGTTAAATAAATTATTTCCAAATTGCTCTGAACTATCAGTGGGATAAGTTTGTTTGTAAAGGTTTCATCAATCATACTCTAGCACCAAAGTTAAATGAAAATGTTTCATATTCCTATTGATGATCATTGCTCGGTTTGTTTCGTAAAATTTTCCTATTGATTGACCTTCATGTCAGAAACGTTTTCAAAATCAATCTGCTAAAACTAATTGATAA